ATCTATCTATCTATCTATCTATCTATCTATCTATCTATCTATCTATCATTCCGGGTTTCAGCTCCTTCATTGCAAACTCTCCCTTGCTTGTTTTATTGTGCACCCTTCCCTCTGAATCCTTTACCTTTAAGCCTGTGTAATTCTCTGGCCACAACGCTCAGAGCGCTGCAGCAACTGCTGGGTAAAGGCTGCTGCTCACAGAGAGGGATCGGAATACAATGGAAAACTCCTTCCAGTTCTCCAGTTATTTTTAGACAAATTAGGCAATTGCTGCAATTTGACTTTTCTTAAGCTGCTGATTGCATGGAGTGCCTGGTTTCTCCGTGCTCTCTCAGGCTCCAGAGAGGCATTCTTATTACTTTTACAATCATTCAGAGGATGCAGAAAAAGGGAAAAAAAATTGTGAAAGTGACATTTGAAAGGCCTAAAATAAAAAGTAACTGTTCAGTTTAAACTATTTAACACAAAATGGAGTTTTATTTTTTTGAGAAAAGTGAGAAAAGGTTCCTTATGAGAATTTGATCATTATTACAGTGGCCCTAGAGTTAGATTGTAAGAAAGCTGATGTAATCAAAGCCATTGTTTGAAAAGCCCAGGTATAATACAATTCCTTCATCTTTCTGAAAGTTTTGGCTTAACTTTACTCAATGAGTTGCTTTGCTCATTTCAGGACTTCTGTAGAAAAAAAAAAGCCTACAGGGCAGAAGATAGGTACAAATAGATAGTTCAGGCAGCTGTTTCCATGGTTCATAATGCAATTAGGATCGCTGCGAATGCAAACCAGGAGCTTGCCGGAAAACCTGTTGGAAGATTTAACAGAGCAGGAATTTGCTGTGAGCAGCCTCACTTTCTCACACAACTCATGCAAACAAAAAACATTTCTTCCAATGCCACATTGAAAATGCCCCAAGGAATCTGCTAATGACCATCCCGGCAAGCTTAATGTATTTTGAAAAGAAGCCATGCTGTGTGATCATATTAGAATAGGTGCTGTTGCTTACAGTGAAAAAAAGAAAAAAATCAATCTGGGGATTTGTTTCAAAATGCTGCTTATAGTCATGAAAGCCAGAATCAGGTAGCAACTTTGCTTTGTTCGTGTTGTGCAGGGAGACAGGGAACCTTTCACTGATGGAGGAAATATCAAAGAAATGAAGCAGATGAAAGCATGACCTTAAAAATCAACAAAAGACTACCTCATCAAGTGTAAGAAGTTGGGGATTTTCCATTGCCCCCTAACATACTCGACCTAGAAATCAATAAAAGTCTGCAAAACTGGCTCTAGGCAGGACAAAAAAAGTCTCCGGATGATGTGCTTGCCAAATGGGCAGTGTTTCTAAGTACTGGCCACTCAAATGGTGTTTTTTTACTTATTTAATATTAAATTCATTTTTCACTATGAGAGCTCAAACTTCTGTATCCTGCATAGCTCTGGATTATTCAGTAACTTTCATCTTTTCCGACAGCTAACGGTGGGCATTTGAAAGTATTTAGTCTCTATAAACTGCACCTTAAACAAAACCACAGTCATAGAGAGAACCTGAATTGACTGTGGTGTCCATGCAGCAGATTAATCCAGGAGAGTCATGTTAGACATGGCCAATTAATCTTGCCCAGGTCTTTAACTTTTTATCCCCCCGGATCATATTTCTTCTGGGCTTTTTCTGCCTTAGAGCAGAGACAGCACCTGTTTTCAAAATCTCTGTTGAATCACCTCCAGGAAGAAACATGTTGATTGTTCCTTTCTGTTCTTTGTTGCAATGTTTCTAAGTATCTGGAAGACGAGAATTTGTGAGAAATCTTTGTACGAGTGTGTTCGTATGGGCATGTGTGTGCGTGCGTGTGAGCACACATCTGTGGGATTCATTATTCCGCAAGTGGAGTCTACAGATGGAAAATATGATTCAGGATGATGATGCCTTTTTGACTCAGCAGGGAGAAGACCAAACAGACAGAGTGAGCGAGATCCCAGTGTTTTTGAATTCCATCAGTTTGCTCATTTGTAGCGAACACAGACTTAGGAAATACACAGATGTACCTACAACCCCCCCCCCCCCCAACCCCCAAAAAACAGATAAAAATAATTAAATTAAAAAACCAGCAGCTCACCATCTATTTTACAACATATTCATGGTGACGCCAATTTTCTTGCTACCAAAATATTGGAAAACTTGTGCAGCCAATAAGAGTGAGTGTGTGTGAGTGTGCGTTTGAGAGCATACTTGACTTTTTGTGTGTTTATCCCAGTTTGGGGAGAGAGGAGTGTAAATGATGTGTCTGGGAAACCTGCATCGAGACATCAACACGCACACACGGACATAGCTCCATCCATCCAGCTGGGTTTCTCTGAGATTTCTGGGAGATATGCAGTCCGGTTCATTGCCAGACAGACCGGTAATATATAGCCCATTCTCCCACCACACACACACACACACACACACACACACACACACATGCACACAGCAACAAATACATAACCACAGAACTTTCTAAAGAACTAACAGAGCTGTCTTCATGTTCTCCACTCAGGTTTCAGTTGCACTTTGCTAATTTATTTTGGAAGCTTTAACGACAAATTACAGAGGAAGCCGTGCTGGTGATTTTTGGTCTGGATGCCAAGGTGAGAAGGAACTAAGGAGACAAGGATATAAGGACGAGAAAAAGGAGACATTCCACCACGGCCCCTGTGGAGCTGTAGCAGGGGCGAGCACACCAGCTGTGATTTCTAATCGGGAAGAAAGGCAGAAAGTAAGTAGGTATGCAAAGTTTATTTATCCTCTTTATCCTCATATTTGTGTTTTGTCTGCTGAGCAGCAGACGTGGTTGTTGACTGCGGTGATGTACACTCGCAATATTTCACGGCGGCTGCATGTGTGATTTGTGTGTAAACAGGGATGGGGCCTCCGAGAGATTTGCCCTGGCTTTTGATTTCCCTTTGTGCAGCAGCTGTGTATGCAGGTACCCCACATGTGTATTTGCTCATGTGCATAAATGCTCATGGCTGCCTTGAAAATTCATGAACGTCTCAAGCTTCTTATCTCGTTAGAGAGACTTAAATATCAAATATATGCAGCGCAAACAAACATGTCGCTTTTCTACAGGTGTGACAGGTGCAAAGGTCGACAATGTGACGTCAGAAATGTGTCGCCATCCATGCGAGGAGCTAGTGGGTTTGATCACTGAGATCCATGGTCTGCGTATTGTGACTAGCAACCTGCTTGAAGATCTGGAAAGAGTAGTAAGAACCCCAAACACATGCACACAGCAGTAACTACCAACATTCTTTTACTGAGTGAAAACACTCTTGTCATTTTTCATTTAATTTAATTTGTGTAGTGGGTCTTTCCCCTTTCATTTGACACCATTCAGCCAGAAGACACTGATGTTTTTGTAATTAACAGCCAGCCTCAGGAAAAATAAGAATGAGTGAAAGTAAAGAGAGATTTAATTTAAAATACATTTTCAAGTGTTAACTGTAGTGGTGAAAACTATTTTTTTATTAATAAATTTTAACATTGCCAGGTTTCTGATACATAAACTAGACTTTTAATGGCAAACATAATATTTTTAGAGAACACTTTCTACACTGTACCTGTTTAGAACTACATCAAGAGTCCAATATGAGAAGCTAAAGGATAAAAATATTAATTCTGTTGTTAGTGTTTGTAGAAAATTAATTTAAAAGACTAAAGAGCAGTATAGGGGGATACTTATTTTGGGCAAAGATAAACATATTCACAATGTATAATTCAATTACTTTTTTATTCTAAACTTGTATCTACTTATCCAGCTCCTTCACTCCTTTTTTATCAACATATATGTTTGTGTTTAAACAAACATGGACCTCCATGAAGTCTATAAAACTAAATACTTGTATAGATTGTAAAACAGGGGCTATATAACTTCACAATTTAAAACAAGACAAACACATTATTCAAAATCGGACATACCTGCTATGGATGTGTTTTGAATTTATATGAATTTTGTTTGGAAAGCAACAAACATAAATGCTGGGACATAGCAGAATTATTTCCTCAGAACAAAGAATGTGAGTTACAGTCATTAAAAAAAGTGTTATTTGTACATAAATTGGAAACAGAATAGTCTTGTGAATAAAACTATGCCAAGATAACAAAGCAAATATAAACCCAAAATGCTAAATTATATTTCCCACATATTCAGAAACGACATGTTTTGTAGTCAAAACAGTTCAGCAAGTTTTTTACCGAAAAGCTCTTATTGGAATAATGATCTTGAAGCCTTAAAAAATAGAAATTAATTAAATAGGAAACAGTGCTCTTGGAGATTTAATCCTGTAATGAATAATTAAATTCTTAAAAAATTTAAACTTATGTCAAAGTGATATTTTAAAGTTTGAGTTGAGGCATAGCTCTGCTTCCAACTATTTTGCATCAAGTGCAGAACATTTTAATTGTGATTTAATCCACTCATTATTTTCTCCACTTCTCAATTGACTGTGAGAAAATAGAGGGAAATGCCATCACAAAATGATGATCAAACCAAACATTAATCCTCTGTGTGTGGACTTGTGTATGAATATACTTAATTGGCAACCATTGTGTACGTTGCTGTGTGTTTAAATGCATAATTAAATCCTGTTTTGTAAGATTTATTGTGATTCTTGCACAGCTATTCTTTAGATAATTAGAAATTAAACTAGTTAAGTATAGTCAAGTAAGAAAATAACCAAATAAAAAATCTTAGTTACTTCTAGAGTAAACAAATTCATCTTGGGTAAACAAAATAATCAGCTGTGTGCGCTGCTATCTAATTTAAATAAAAGCAACTAACCACAAGTTTTTAGGAAAATGGGTAAACTTGTGCCTTTAGAAGAAATCATTTTGCCTTTTAATGTGAAATAATAATTTTACAATCATAATAATTGTAAATAATAATAGTCACAAAATAGTCACTGAATATCGCTTTGAATATGACCGTGATTAATTCGGGGAGAATTTTATATGACAAACAGCCATGGGCAGCTCTTCACAAAAGGAAACGTTGCGGTTTTGTGGTGAAAAAATAAGCCCAGGGAATACCACCAATGTTAGAGTGCTGGCAACTTAACATTGTACCGTGATCTGGCCTACAGAGGTTCACTAGGGCATATTTGATATAGTAAATCTTTACGTATTTGAAAAGATTTGATGCTTGTGTGTATGTGTCAGTCAAAGGAAAATGAGGAAATGAGGATATCTCTGGCCGAACTGAGCAACAGCAGCAGCAGAGGGAGTTCGGACGGCAGCGAAAACGATCTTGACAGAGACAGAGACGGGGAAGTGTGGTGTGTGCAGGATGGACGAGTGTACGAGCAGGGGGAGGACTGGGAGGTTGACAGCTGCACCACTTGTGCTTGCCAGGTCAGTGATGAACAAAGCTCATGTCACAGCGGTAAGATATTAAGGTGTCATTAAAGCCTCTGATTGAATGGAGAATCTGTCCCAAACACTGTGGACTTTTTTTTTTACCATCACCTGTATCATTTTGAGTAAAGATTACATCTTCTACACATAGGCCAAATAATTGTACTCTATGAGCATGCTGTTTGATTGTTCACCTCCAGTCCAGTTTTAACCCTGAAAAAACTGGTGAAATATTTTAAACATAGGCAAAGTTCTTAATTTTTTTTCTTAATTTTACCCAATAAAAGTTTATGAAGCACACCTTACTAGCTACTAGTTAAACTGAATCTCAAAAAGAAAGCTACAGTAACCAGCACATTTTCTATTACTTCAAAATTGTTACTTTACATTGCTCTTATTAGTTAGGGTCACGTTTCACATCAACACAATATCATTTCATTTGTTTTCGGAGCCTCTATCTATATTTGACTCCTGCTTGATCTTGCTTCCTGAGTCTGTTTTTCTTTATAAAACATCATTAGTTTTGTCAAGAATGCGTTAAGGGAGTAGCCAGACTTATTCCTGACGGCATTTCATTCCTTTGGCATCAAACAACACATCTGGATGGAATAACATGACATTTTCACAATATCTAAATTTATCAACTCTGGCTTGTCTCATCCAGGATGGAAAGGTTGTGTGTCAGCAGGCGTCATGTCCCCCGGTGTCCTGCATCAATCCGTCCTTTATCGATGGAAAATGCTGTCCCGTTTGCCTCAGTGAGCGTGATTTACAGTCAAAAATGTGCACCGAGATCTGTTTGGTTCCGAAATGCATCACAACAGCTCCATCTTATTGTGTCTGTGTACAAAGACAACAAAGATGGCTGGTCCCCATGGTCTGAGTGGACACACTGCTCGGTCACCTGCGGGCGTGGAGGGCAACAGCGGGGTAGATCCTGCAATGGCATCATGCCCGGCTGCACCGGCCCCTCTCTCCAAACCCGCAGCTGCTCCATGATGAAGTGTGACCGCAAGGGTAGGACATCACTCTGCACATCTGCTCTCAAATGTTTTGATTTAATAGACTTTTAAGGACAGACATGTCCAAGTCCATCCAAAGGAACCAAAGTGAATTGTTCTCAAAGCATTTTGGGATATCGCAGTCTTAACTGGAAACAGATTGTTTTGCTCGCTTAATGTACACACAAGTGCGGCGCCATGGCAATCGTCTGTGAAAAGAATGTTCTACCATTTTCATGTGCATCACTTCTGTCCAGCGCGTGCTGACGGGAACTGGGGGCTTTGGTCTCCTTGGTCCGCGTGTACAACTACTTGTGGAGCTGGCAACATCACACGGGTGCGACTGTGCAACAACCCCCCACCCCAGAAGGGGGGCAAGGGGTGCACAGGAAGCGGCAGAGAGACACAGGATTGCAACAACACGCTCTGTCCCAGTGCGTAAAAATGCACATTCTAAATGTTATATGTGATATTTTTCTGACTTATCTGTTGATAATTGATGTGTACGTGCAGTCGCAGGTGGTTGGACATCCTGGAGTGAATGGTCACAATGCTCTGCGACGTGTGGCGGAGGCCTTATAAGTCGTGAGCGAGAATGTGTGAACCCCGCCCCTCAGAATGGAGGAAAGCCTTGTGCTGGGGATGCTACGGACTATGAATCATGTAACAAACAGGAGTGTCCTTTAGGTAACGTTATTATGTGGCTGTATGTTAACATCTTTACTGAGCTGACAAAGAGTAAACCTCAAATCCAAGGATAAACTTTAATCCTTTTTTGTGGTAGAGAACATCTTTTAAAAAAATAATGTTTCTGCCTTATTAAAATATCAATGAAGATTATCATAGGAACATTATTCCAACCCAAAAACACTTCTGTTTTCAGTTATCTAATATTTGATATTTCTATTATGCTCAGCTGTAACAGACTTTATATGCACATTTGTTTGTGTTTCAGATATGTGTGTGATTTCAAATCCATGTTTTCCTGGAGTGGAATGCACGTCATACAGCGATGGGTCATGGGAATGCGGAAATTGTCCAGTGGGCTTGAATGGGAATGGCACTCATTGTGAAGATGAGAATGAGGTAATCAGCTAAAAGATCAGAACACAAAGAATTACTAATTACTTATGCCCCATTTACCTTTGTGTGACTGACTTTACCAAACAACAAATAATCAAAGATGTAAGCTAAATTAGCAAATTTACATTATGTTGCTTTAAATTGAGTTATAAAGGATTATCAAAGAAAAAACACAAACAAACAAACCAAATGTGGCATATTCTTGGGCACTTTATATAGATTGCTGATATTCAGTTTCTCGGTGGACCAGACTGCTTAATCCCCTTAAAGCTAGTTTAAAAGCTATGATTTGGTCAATTTCACGTTTAATTTCAACCGAAGGCATCACGCTCCCATACATCACAAATACAATCCATACAAGGAGCAAATTCTCTAGACAACACATGTTATGCTTTTAATCAAACTTTTAATCAAACAGTTCATTTTTTTATATGCTGAGCATGAAAAACGTCTTGAACCTCCATCTTCAGTGTGAAGTGGAGGATGTTTGCGTTTTGAAGTGCATAAACACGGACCCCGGATTCTACTGTCTGCCTTGCCCTCCCCGCTACAAAGGCAACCAGCCATATGGGCTGGGCCTGCAGCAAGCCCTGCAAACCAGGCAGGTAGGTGTTTTCAGTGTGAATCAGCCAACTTTCTTTGCTGTAAACAATCTTCACAAAGCACAGTCATTTGGATCCACAAAGTTCTTTTTTCTGGTTGTAGGTGTGCGCCCCATACAATCCTTGCAAAGACAATAGCCACACCTGCCACAGGTATGCTGAGTGTGTGTACCTCGGTCTGGCGTCTGAGGTCTTGTACAAGTGTGTTTGTATTGTTGGGTTCGCTGGCGATGGTTTCCTGTGTGGTGAAGACCCTGATCTGGATGGATGGCCCAATGAAGAATTACCCTGCAAGCAGAATGCCACCTATCACTGCCAAAAGGTACAAAAAAACACAAACAAACAAGGTACAAAAAGAAAGAAAAAATAGTTTCCTGAGCTTAGATCTGAGTGGATGTGACTCAATTGAGCCGAGTTGTGTTTCGCTGCAGGACAACTGCCCTTTGATGCCAAACTCTGGACAGGAAGACACAGATAAAGATGGGCAGGGAGATGCCTGTGATCCTGATGATGACAATGACGACATCATAGATGACAGGGTGAGACCGTGTTACCGAGGCTACACTTTTTGGGACGGCATTCATTTGAATAGCTATGTGTGTGTGTGAGTACATCTCAATGCTTCTTTTTCTTGCCCAGGACAACTGTCCGCTAGTCTACAACCCTCGGCAGTTTGACTCTGATGGGGACGGGGTCGGGGACCGCTGTGACAACTGTCCATTTGAAAGCAACACGCTGCAGACAGACACTGATGGCAATGGAGAGGGTGACGCCTGCAGCATCGACATGGATGGAGATGGTAGGAGTATCTGCTTTCTAATGTGGCTTCAGATTACCTCGTATTGTCACAGGATGAAATTTCAAAATCAGTCAACTGATGGCGAGTCAAGTGGTTTCAATGTTTTGATGGCGGCATGGAAAAGATTGGTCGTTAAGACTCTGTGTCCAAATAGTTAATGGATGACACAATATTTTTAGTGTTAAACAAAAAAGAATTTGAAATTCCCTATCATTAAAAGATTTGGAGAATCTGGAGACAACTTTTGGCTGAAGCTAACTCAAGATAGAGTGAAGTTTGGGGGATATCTTGTGGTCATTTAGTATGTTTGACATATCAATGAAGTCCTTTCCTTTCAGAGGAACTGAATGAACGAGACAACTGCCCTCTTGTGTACAACACTGACCAGAGGGATACGGACCTGGACGGTGTTGGAGACCAGTGTGACAACTGTCCCCTTCTTCACAACCCACTGCAGGTTCCTTAAAGAAAACACATAAAACACACAAACAAAACCAATGTACAAATATAGAGTGGATTGCATATGTGGACTTCTTTGTGCGCTTGGCAGCTCGACACTGACAGTGACCTGGTGGGGGACATGTGCGACAGCAACGAGGACATAGATGAAGACGGCCACCAGAACTCTCTAGACAACTGCCCCTACATTGCCAATAGCAATCAGGCTGATCATGACAAGGATGGAAAGGGAGATGCTTGTGACCACGACGACGATAATGACGGTATCCCGGATGACCGGGACAACTGCAGACTGGTGCCCAACAGGGACCAGCTGGACTCGGATGGTCAGTGTTGTTTTTGTTTTAAGAGACAAGCACTCTGAAGAGTGTCATGCTAAGACAAATAATGTCCATTTAAAATGAAATGTTAGGGTATTTGTGACCATATGATACACAAATTAACACAAACCAAAAATGTTTGCTGCCATTATTTTGCTATTTATTCTGAATGTATTGTGCTGACATGATGTAAAATTTTACATGAAGTCCTTTAATTTTTCAGTACTACAGGTGATATCAGAGCTGCATGTCACAATATATATTCAATGGGTTTCTATTGTGAAAAGAGTACAATATTTATTCTATTATTCTACCCTTTTTATACCGACCCTGACTAGTGTTCTGTTTCTCAGGGGATGGCAGTGGAGACGCATGCTTTAATGACTTTGACAATGACAGCATTCCAGACGCACTGGATCCTTGTCCAATGAACCAGGATATCGGTGCCACAGACTTCAGGAAGTTTCAGGGGGTTCTGTTGGACCCTAAAGGCACCACGCAATCGGACCCCCTGTGGGTGGTCAGGAGTCAGGGGACGGAGCTGCTGCAGAAAGCAAACTCGGACCCCGGAATTGCTTTAGGTAAGAAAAAATACATGATAAGGATGAATCTGGATCTGTTTAATTGACTTACATTATTTTTTTAACAGGATATGACAAATTCAGCGCTGTTGACTTCAGTGTCACATTTTATGTAAATACCAACCGAGATGATGATTACGCTGGCATTGTGTTCGCCTACCAGTCCAGTCGGCGCTTCTATGTCGTCATGTGGAAACAGGTGAGTGCAGATTTTATCACTGAGAAGCACACACCGTATGTTAACTGCACCTTAAGAATCTGAACCTAAACCACGACAATACTATAAAGTAACATATAGACTATGACCTCATCCTTCTGTCTCCTGTCAGTTTTAAATCACAGCAAAATATAAAAGAACACTGCATAAAAAGACTTGACCTTTCAGGCACTCTGTCTTCAGTAGGATGACAACTGTCGACCAGCTACTTCTTTTATTCAGTAAGTCCACTTATCATACACTTTCCATTTCATTCTCTTTTACTTCTTATGGCAGGTGTCTCAAGCCTACTGGGAAAAAAGGCCAACCAAAGCCTTTGCCACTGCAGGACTCTCACTCAAACTGGTTAACTCTAACTCAGGCCCAGGGGAGTATCTCCGCAATGCTCTGTGGCACACAGGAAACACCAGACACCAGGTGAGAGGGGAGAAACTGGAGAAATCCCTCTTTAAAACTTCACATTTTTTGTATGAAATGTATTATTTGACAACAGACAGAGTAGTTGTTTAACTGCTAGAAAAGATTAAGAATGCTTTTGTTTCACAATGTGTGTCTTTTTCAGGTCAGAACATTATGGCATGACCCCAATAAAATTGGCTGGAAGGATTTTACGGCCTATCGCATGCACCTCATACATCGACCCAAAACTGGGTTCATCAGGTGCAGTATCTAATGTTATTATGGATTATTGATTTTTGAATGAAACTGACTCTAGATATCCAGGTAATGAAATATATTTTCCTTTTCTTTGGATGCTTATCAAAAAAACAATTTCTTGTGTAAAAGTTATCTAAATTTACAAATAGAATGTGTTAAACCTTTAGATTTATTTGGATATAGGATCATCATCTGTCCTCAAAAGTTAGTTAATGATATTGGTGTAATTAACCTTCTATGTCGAACTGTATTTTCCTCAACTTGACATGGCTACTTCTGCATAGTTGTTCCTTTCACTAATAGCCTTGAAAACAAAGCTAATCTATAACTTTCCCAGGCAGAGTTCCTCTAATATGTCCAAACAGTGACATCATCCATAGCCATAGTTAGATTTTCACCCTGAAAAATACAGAGAACAAAGCCTTTTTTTGCCTTGACCAAATGTTCAAATTTCTTTGAAAATCCAATCAATGACCCTGATGCATTCTGGGTACTGGCATTTTTGAGTGATTGCACAGAGGGTGCACGCTTAGAGGATGTGGCTCCTGCACTTTGATTGTGAAGAATAGAGATTCATTGATATTTTTTCATAGTTGGTTCAGTTTTCTCTTTAAGCACATAGCCTACTTGCCATTTAATTCTTATCAGTCAGGAATAAATGGCAAAAACTATGTTCTTTACTCTCATAAGCAGGGGACGAATCACTGAATTCAGATTTTGTCATAAAAATGTGACAACAATATGTGAATGGTGTCTTTTTTTAACTAAATTTCTGTCCATTGTTGAGTGCTGTTTACTGCAGCTCCCATTTCACTGGATCAGTTTTAAAGCTGCAAGAAATGTCTCAATAAATCACTGTGTCTAGTTCTTGTTTTCCTGGCAGTACATATGAAGGGTGGCTTAGACTTGTGTACTGTAAAGTAGGAAACTGTTCCTCCAGGACACCTTGTACTTTCCACAACTGATTTCGTCATGAAAAATAGCATGAATGGAGTCTGATGTGCATTTATGTCTGAACGCAGTGTGAGTTACTTCCCTCCCATAGCATCTGTATTGTTTGTGTTCCCATGGCAGGGTGGTGGTGTATGAAGGTAGGGAGATTCTGTCTGACTCGGGAGCAGTGTATGATCACACTCTGGCTGGAGGAAGACTTGGGCTATTTGTGTTCTCTCAGGAACATGTTCTCTTCTCGGACGTCAGACATGAGTGCAGAGGTAAGGGGACCCATAAAACATTGCTTCTGCTGCTCATGAGTCATAGAAAATGTTCTTACAAGCTACAAACTGATTGTTGTGAGTGCTTAACATTTTTAGATAGTTGGAGTTTCAAGTATGTCTTAGACTGGCTAATTTGGACTCATGCCACACATTTAAAAAGCCTAGTTACTACCTACATATCATATGTGTATACTTTCATGTATATTTAGTATTCATGTGGTGAAATAAAAAATAAAAGGTGCAGTCTTCTCTGTAACAGGGAGTGTAAAAATGAAATATTCAATCAAAGGAAAACTACTGTGTCAGAACTAAATATACTGAGCAATGTGTTCATGATAAACTAAAATGCTGATCTTTTTTCTGTTTTATTGTCAGATAACTGAATGTGTTCAGGATGCTCCACAAAACGCCATGGGAGTTCTAGATTAAATACAAATATATGTAATGCAATTCAGAGAGACGGAAAACAGAGGAGCTGCATCAAACACGGGCCTTCATCTTTCCATGACTATAATTAGTGACCATCATCTATCTATCTGTCAGCTTTTTACACAGCGGTATTGATTCCAGGCTGTCTCATTCGCCGTATATTACCCCATTGGCACCACGTCTAATGATACTTTTTTATGCTTTTTATTTGCGCCTTCCTAATGGATGTAAATAATTATTTATTGTGAGATGCCAGATATGTTAGAGAGAGAGAGAGAAAGGGAGGGATGAAAATAATGATGGAGTGAGTTGAGCAGATGTCTGGTGGTAACTTATCAATAAAAAGCGTTTTATTACCAACTGCTTCTTTTTTTCTTTGCCTAATGATGCTAGAAACAGTGAAAACAGCAGAAGGCAGACAATCATCTTCCTTCTTTTCCTTTCTTCTTACTCCGGAGGGGATGGGTGGTAGTCGGTTAGCAGGACCACAAATTTGTTGGTGCACAGTGGAGGTTTTTGAGCCTGAGGGCAGATGCTTTGGAGTGGACCCCACAGGCTTGCCTGGTGAGCATCTTCAGTGAAAATCAATATGGGCGCCCAGCTGTTCTGATGCCACTGATCCAGTTTTCTGACTTTCATACTTCATAGCTGATATATGCATCTAAGAATTTGCCTTCATCTCCAAAGGTCTGTAAATCAGCTGCAGCTAAATCAGAGTAACACTGATGTTTTCTATCTAACTATCGACCCAAATCAGGTAAATTTATCATATGTTCACTCACAAAGGAGGATCAGTACCCCAAAAAAGGGCGATCCATTTATTTTCAGTGCACATTTCATGCGTAAATGGTTGCGTTGTTGTTGCAGAGCTGCCTGCACTGACAGAGCAGCAGCTCCCTCTGCAGTTTCTACAGAGAACTAGTCAAGCTTGTAAAAGCCAGAGCTCCGTTCATGTGCCAGTCTGACTGGCTTCCTAAATCAGAGATAGGGTCTGTTGCGGGTTATATGGCTGTAAACCTCTGGGTGATATATCAGTGGCTCTTTTTACGGCGAGTCGCCAGACGTCAGATACCCAGCAAAAACGAGTGAGGCAGGTTTTACCTGCTGAGCGCGCTCCCGCGGCCGTGCCACAACACCTGAACACGAGTGGACGCGATCTGCACCGCCACATGCTGGTGGACTCAATAAATGCACAATGCAAGACCCTAAAGTCGGTACTGAAAGTATTTCAGATCCGTAAACGAAGTAACGAGTGGTGCTACGTAGCACAAGATTAATATTTAGATGAATGGATTTCTATCAATTTGATGGGAACTTTTCGACATTATGTTTTTCAGGTAATTTAAGTTAAAAGAAGAAAAAAGGAAACTCCACAGAAATTAAATTAGATAGGCTTAACACAGTTTAAGGCATTCTTTTGTTATTTGTGTACATTATAATTGTTAACATGTTCTATAAATCTGCCTCTCCAAAGAAAAAGTCTGCAGGGCAAACAGATCCTTCCGAGTCCAAACGGAAAACCAGTTGGGCCGGTTAGGGAGGAGAATATGAGCAGAGCCCATGCAGGTACGCACTTTCTACCAGGTGAGGTGGCCGAGTGACGTCACCGGCACCGGTTTCCAATGAGAGACTAAGAATGAGGAAGGCGAGCTAACCCTCCGGGTTGGAGAGGACAGGAGGTTAAATGCATCGTTAAAAGCAACCGACCGGGGACGTTATCTAGAGGAATCCAAGTTTTGGAGGATGGTGCACGGCAGCCCGGGAGCGCGCTGCGCTCGCTTTATGGAGCGACACCGGTCCGCGGTGAGTTTTGCCGTTCTGATCGTCGCCTACATCCTCTACCTCATAATCGGCGCCGGGATCTTCTCGGCCATCGAGTTGCCCTACGAAGAGGAGTTTCGACGGGAGCTGAAAGCGGCCCGTCGGGACTTCCTGAACAACAACACTTGCGTGTCCGACGAGCGTCTGGAGGAGCTTCTGGCGCGCGCGCTGCAGGCCAGCAACTACGGGGTGTCCGTCCTTGAAAATGACACCGGCCAAAACTGGGACTTTGTGTCTTCCCTGTTCTTCACCAGTACCGTGCTGACCACAACAGGTGAGCCACTTCCAGCTTCAGGTTGTGTTTTTCTAAAGAAGCTACTTCCTCGGTGTTGCTTCTTTGTGATGACTAAGAAATATGATCTAGTGATTAGGTCACCTTTTCTGTTCTTCACTTGTTAGATTTTCAAATGTTCAGTTTAAGTTTTTTAATTAAGGTGTAGACCTTGATTTAAAACTTAGGCATCAGCTGTAACAGTGACTCCTGAAATGGAGTCTCCAAAAGAGCCCAACAAACATTTCAGGTGGTGTCTCATATGGGTTATCATCTCTAGATCATAATGGACGTTTAGAGTTGTGAATGGTGAAAGGGGATGTACTACTTTCTGAGTTTCCCTGTTTGAAAAAAGAGTTTCTTTGTTATATTTAGCTAATCTGTAAAATGAGCCAATATAAATGGCTGTCACATTTATTTTACTATTTGATGTGCCAAGTAAATATCAGTACAGAACTAAAGTCTGAACACTCCTTTATGAATTTAAAGTAACAGCCTGAAGAAGACAATGGGACTAGGAATTGCACAGTATACATAAATTTGATGTACATCGTAAGGGAAAGTGTTTGTGTATCCAAATCTGACCAAAAAATAAGTTGATATTCTTCCTCGTCCCACTCCGGCGTTGTGGCATCACGTGGAAGTAAAAGACTGTGCTCGTTTAGGGACTAGAAAATCTTGTTAGTTTGATTTAAATGAGCTTCCACAGAGGGTTAATAAAAGTGCTAACTCAGCCTGTCATTCTCTCATTACCTGGGAGCTTCATCCCAGCCTTACATTTAATTCCCCTGTACTGATATAGTGTTGCATGTTATGCTGTGTTTTCAGGTTATGGTCACACTGTTCCACTCTCTGATGAAGGCAAGGCTTTCTGTATTTTCTACTCCCTCTTTGGCATCCCCGTTACCCTCTTCTTCCTCTCCACTGTTGTGGAAAGACTCGTGGTCCTGATGAGTCGACGCCCGGTCTCCTACTTCCACAGACGATGGGCCATGTCCAGGTCCAACCTGGCCGTCCTTCACGCCACCTCTCTAGCCGTCATCATGGTCATTATCTTCCTCCTCATCCCTGCGTGGATCTTTGTGACGCTGGAAAAAGATTGGAACTTTCTAGAGTCTTTGTACTTCTGCTTCATCTCACTGACAACCATTGGCCTCGGAGATTATGTTCCTGGAGAAACCCACAGTAAGGAGGCCAACCCACACCCACAGCTGTACAGACTGGCCATAACAGGTGAGTGTGCCTCTCAACACAGAGTGCTGTTTAAGAAAAAAGAATGCATTTTCAGGGAATTAAAAATTTCCACTCAGTCAATAAGAAATGTAATGCATCATAAGTATATATTATATAAAGATGAGGTACCACTTAAGGTACAACTGTTCCCCTCATAGGCGTGAGAAAGATCCATAATAGTGTAGGGAAAGTCATTGTTTTGTGTGTATATATATATATATATATATATATATATATATATATATATATATAAGCTACATTCACAGTGGAAATCTTACCGATAAACCAGGTCAGCAACATGATTTCCTCTTACCTTTCTGAATTAAACATAGGTTTTAAAAAATAAATAAAAAGATAACAAGAAATCTTACTATGCCTTTTGTCTTTTACATTTCTCTTTATAGTCATCTCTTTTTCTCAGTGGGATTGTATAGACATATCAAGACTGTAAAGGCAGCCATTATTTGTTTCTTTTTTCAAAAACTTTTGTATTGCTTTCAAATCGGTCATCTTAAAAAAAGGAATCCTCTGTTTTTTTATTGAACACTGATATCTTTCCTTTGTCCCTCTGCATCATTTCCCGTGTGCTCGTTCTCACAGTCTACCTGCTGCTGGGCTTGGTGTGCGTCCTGGTGGTGATGGAGACGTTTTGCGAGCTTCCCCAAATGCGACGGCTCAGACAGATGTTCTACCAAGAAAGTGTTCGGGAGCTGGACTCTGAGACCGCGAACATTATCGACCGCGACCACATGAGCAGCCAGCTGACCGAACCCGCCGATCAAATATCGTCAGATCAACTACCGGCCATTCCCTCTGTGTCAGCACAAGCTGAGACTCTGCCACGGAGCACCACATCAGTGCCTTACTTACCAGCTTTATCGTCCGATGTTAATGGAAAGCTAAGATAACACTTGTCTGGGCCTCCAGGAGTTGTGTTTGAGATATATTATTTTTAAGGAAGTCATTTGGTGACTCTTGTTCAACACATAGCTTCTCAGCTCTATAAAATGTTATTATTTGAGCCTACTGGAGTGTCAATGCACAAAAAACTGAGTTGCTTGATAGTTTAAAAGTGCTTGCCTTTCTGCCAACATCAACGCACATGTGTGGTATTACAGTAGGCACACCCACACATTATCAGTGTGGTGCTGTTTTCCCCTTGTTCTAATTCCCTGTAGATATTTATCTTTGACTAAAAGGAAGGGCAGGGCCCCCCAAAAGGGTTGAAAAAATAAGTTTTCTCTTCTAAACCGAGCTTTGCAATGCCAAAGATGCATAGTTCTCACGAGAGGTTTTCACACTTTGAACCGCCTGTGCTCCATGCTCGTATTTGCATAGGAAATTTGCCTTCTTGGAGACTGTAAGGCAGTACGGCACCAGGGTAATCAGGCATACCATCAGTTAGCTGACTGCCCATCGTGTGAAAGTACTGGATGAAGAAGATCAGTTGATGGCAATGAAAAACATTTTTTTCTTCCTGGTTTCTTACAGGTTTATTAGGCTTGAGTTCCTGATAGTATGTATTGACAGGTCATTGTGGGAACCCAGCTGTAACACAAGCATTTTTGCCACCAGGGGGAGGCATTTTCATGTTAAAGGAAGTTTAGGTAAAGGTCTTGCCAGGACTTTTAATCATGCTGCTTGCTATTCTTTCAAACAAAATTGAATACACAAAATACCTCATTGTTACATCTAAAGGTAAGAAAGCAGTTGTTTGGAAGTACATGATGGGGTTATACACATCCAAGCTGCTTTTTCATCTGTATTTATATTTAAGGTGGGTGTTATTTGTCAGCAAATAAATATATCTTTTCCTCACTTTTAAATTAGCTTTCAAGCTTCAAATCATAGCTTCCTTACATTGTAATTAAAATAATTCTGTCTTTAGGTTGTGGATGAGACACTAATCACAAAACTTCTGAATGAAATGTAAATACATTATACAACTGAACCTTGTTGTGATTACGTTTCTACAGATGTGCACCTCGAGAAACCACACTGAACATTTTCTATAAACTTAGTCTAATTTATTCAAACAGTTACTGTATATATTCACATCATAATTGGAAACACAGACACATGCGGAGTGATGTGGATTCTCGCTGACATTCAGGCATGCATTCAAAATCAAACGCACATTCAAACACGCTTTCACACACACATTCATATGCAGAAAACCTCCCTCAACCCGAAATGAAGCTCTCACTCCGGGTTGAGAAGAGAAGGCATTTGTCCTTCTGAGAAGTCCATGAATCTCTACGAGCTGCAGTAATCTGTTTGGAAGTTTCAGCTGACCTTTGACCTACACATAGATTGGTAAAATAGCAGCAGCATACCGACACACACACACACACACACACACACATCTTCACAGACAATCCCTTCATTGCACATAAGTTTATGCATACATAATGTACATCTGCGGATTCATACGATTTGGGGCTGCTTGGAACAAGTGGGCCAGACAGGACGCAGGCTGAGGATGAAGAGGGCGAAGAGCAGGATTGCGATGATGGTGACTATGGAGACATAGCCGGCATGTGGCAGAAGGGGCGAATCCGGAGCTTCAGCAGGAATCATATTGGTCAAATTCAACATGTAGCCTAGGGTCCAGCCTGCATCACTGCCTTTTATCTGAAAACCGTACAAGAGAAGAATTACAACTTCAGACTTGTTTATTCATTTTTAAGATTTCTATCATGTTGCTGCGCAGCAAGGCAGAGCATATTGTTAGCAGATTATTCCCTGCTCAAATCTAAGAGAGAGCTTAAATGCATACAACAAACTTGATAATTCAATACCAGCTGTTATATTTGATAAGCTCTTTAACTCATTCCACAGAAATGTAATGATTTGATAAGCTGTTCCCACTTCCCCTTACATGTGACGTAGCCTTTTAACTGAGGAACTCAAATGGGGACCTGTAGCTCTTATTAAACTATGTCAGACGATTAAAAAAAAGACTTAGAATGCTGAACCTGGATAAACGCACGCAGGTGGGCAGCCATCCCAGAAGGTGAGAATTTGTCACTATTTCCTTCTTAGAACAGCAGGTCTCAGCCCGTTTTGTCGCAACATACTCCGACCCTTACAATCACTAGTTATTTACACAGTAATAATAATATATATAGATGTCATGGAGAATATTTGACAAAGTCACCATAGAAAAACGTTTTTAGACCTCGTGCCGTCACCTGACCCATTCGACCAATCACGCAGGCCCATGCTGACGAGTCCTCACTGACGTGAACATGTCTCAGTGGACACAGGTCACTCTCCAAGTTTTGTTTTCATTTTCATTATCTTTACTCTGTACATCCGGGAGTAACTTGTTCACATGATCTTTTCTAGTGCATTGTTCATAGTCCATATGAGGAACTGCCTCTGTTTTGCATCAACTCAGAATTTATTGATTATGTCGATTGTCATAATTTGTTCTTTATTTCACCTGCAGTGCCAACAAATAAGTGTAAGTTTGGCTCTTATATGTGGCGTCTTGTAGTTTTGTGCATAATGCTGTACTGTTTTTCGTTTCCTTTAAACCCCCTGCATCTGGACTGAATTGGGACTGGTTATATTTAAGTTTTTCCTGTGGGGATGTGATTTGTGTCTTTGACATTCAAATGTCTACCACAGTGTTGCTTGCTTGATGTCTACTTCCCACTATTTCTTGTAATTCTGGCTTCATATGAAAGCAATTTGCCCTGATATAACTTTTAGCCAGTCATGATGAGAAACCACCAACAATGAAACACAGATTTGTTTTAGTTTTGTTGCTCTTCATGTGAATAAATGTATCTTTTTGCTTGGATTAAGATGAAGGAAGTTTAGCAAGCATTTGAGGATAATTCTGTTTCTTGTAGTGATTTTTTAGGTTTGAGATGATGATTTATGATTCCTGTTTTAGCATTTGGACTGAGAGCTTTTCCTTCCATCTTCAACTACATAACCATTTAAAGCTGCTGGATCTATTTTTAGTCTCAGCAATGACAAGGTCAGATGTCCATCCTGCATCACACAAACTATGATGATATATTTGTTTGATTTAATCATCAAAACATATCTGTATAATGAAATATCATGTGCTGGGATTAAGTGATAATTGGATTCACAGTTTGTTTGTTTTTTTCCCAAGTTCTGAACGTTTTGTTTGTTCAAAACAGTGGAAACACTCATGACTCAATCACCAGAGGAAATATTACGTCACGTCTATGTAAATATTTTTTCCTCAGAGAAGATGACTGATGTTAACAAAGGAAAAAATAATCCCTTATGGCTGCTGGTCGCAGTTGTTGCACCAACATGTACTCATATGTTTTTTTGTTTTGATGGATTTAAACCAATGTTACTACAAAGAATGGCTCACACTTAATGCATTTTTAGCTTTTAAAATCAATCCTTATTTTTATTTATTTATTTATTTTCATCCCATTTCACTGCAACCAAATGACTCTGGAGTGATTTTTTGTTTCAAGATTTATTTAAGGTTTTATATACCCTGCATGTATTTTTGTCAATTCTTTTAAAGAAGATATTTTATGATCTGAACCTATTTTAGTCATTTTCTGTCAGTTCTTCGACATAAGTGGTGAGCCTTGAAGTAATTAGTCTTCTATTGTAAAGTGTCTTTTTTTGTTGTTGTTGCTTATACTCGTTTTCTACTTAGACAGCCAGCCCAATAAAGAAAGTCACTCACTCCAGTTCTTTTGCAGGTGTAAGTTTTACTTGTTGCTTCAGGAAATATTCATTTAGAAAATATGATGGTCCCAGGTTTTAACAAGGCTGTTAACTGGAACACTTAGGATTTTACTTGTTGCCAAATGGAAGCTCCAAGGTGCTTTTTTTTATTGGAGACTATTAACCTCTTGGTTAGTTATTTCCTGGTCTCGACTTTATAACTTTCAGATTTTGAGTTTTAATCTTGAAAAAGAGTGGATAGAGGAAATTTAGGTTTCTAGAAATTCATAAGATATTTAGCATCCAAAACCTATAGGACACATACTTTCTACACACAGTCCCACATATAGCACAGATGGAGCCATGAGTCTGGAGTGTGTCAAACAGGAAAGGGTGGACCTTGATCTACTGACCTTTTTGATGAATTCTATTTTGGAGTAGGTCTCTGAGGTGAAGTTGTATCCTTCGATCAGCAGGGTAAGGATGTATGTGCCGGAGAAGCAGTACTCGGAGAGATATTTCTGGTCTACCTTTGGATGCTGTTTGACTATCTGTTCATGTAGTACAAATGCAGTGATATCAGTAAGGCACACCAAAGACAGAGATAAGACATGGAAATGAATGAATATTGCTGACGCGCTTTTGTTTTATATGTGTGTGACTATTTCATTATCATTCCCAAACCTTAGTCCAAGGGGTTGCACAGTACTCCATTAGCTTTTCCCTCACAACCTCTATAGAGGTAGATGTATCTGTCAGATTTAGGAATTTCATTACAAAGTAGTAAGCAGAAAAAGCCTATAGTGAAAAAGAAGAAGAGAAAGGTCAAAACAATATGTATTGATGTCTTTACCAGATGAAGCAATAAATGAATGAATATAGAATTTTCATATCTTAAAGCCCAATGGGGACCCCACTGACCCAAAGAGTATTTGGACTGATTTGTTCAATAGTTTATTTGACATCAGAAATTGCACATAATTGTTTGCTGAATCAACTGGAACCATGGTGCTTCTTTTTTCTTTTAAGATGAAGCAAGGCTAATTGAGTCATTGAGTCCATGCATTTTATAGGGTTTCATATCGTGAAGCAGATCAGGAACATTAGGATCAACATGTAGGATTCCTTCTCAGACCACACCCAACCAGAAAGTACTGACGGTGTAGTTATTATAAAGGTTTATGGGACTCACAAGCCTGTTTGCAATGCAATAAATGTTTGGCCATACATTCAGAGTGCTTTAGAGTGGTGGAAGGTGCTTTAATAAAACTCAACCGACTATTACTGTTACCTTACCCCAAATGACCCTTGTGGCGTTGGCTGGAAGACTCCATTGAAAGAGCATCGGCTATAATTGCAGGAAGTAAAGTCAAAGACACTTTTGATGACTTCATGGCATTTTGTAAAGTTTCCACTCCCTGACAGAGTGAAGCTGAGAGGAGCTTCCTGGGGTTTCCTTTCTGACACGCATGGGCTGTCATAGAGGATTGAGTAGTTCTTTGTCTGAGTGTAGCCTGGGTGGAAACAGGGATCTGTTATTGTTCTTGGACCTGACTGGGAGAGAGGGAGAACAAGGTAAATGGGACAAAGAGAGGAAGCCCTTTAGAGTGACGGCGCTACTGTACAGTACATTTCAGCACATCATGTCTCTGATTAGGAATTAAATAGCCGGAAACGTGAGAGGTTTACCTTGGTCTGATGTGCCAACGCCAGCCCAAGAGCTTGATCTTTCCCGTAACACAGGAAGCTGTGAGTATACACATGGTAGTCATTCCCGTAAAGTCTGAAATTCACAGAGTTTTTGGGTGACTCCAAACCATTGTAACTGTCAGATACAAAACTAATTTGAGTTGAAGCCCCACCAAGGTCAAGAGCGCCTGTGGTTTCTAGACCCTGCAGCAGAAAGAAAAAGGCACTGATCAGAGCACAGCACAAGCACCAGAACAGACACATAAAAGAATTCAAATGAATGAATGAATTCAATCAATACATCTAATGCATGCATGTTGACAAACCTGTTTGAGGCGATCGCTTAAGTAGTTGATAGTGACCCAGCCGAAGGCCCCCTCCTCCTGCCCACTTAATATTCTCGCTCCCTGAAAGGAAAATGGGAAGCGTTGCAGGGCTTCCTCCACAGCCTGAAATACCTTGTTTGATGCCGAACTGTCGTCCAAACTGCATGCACACGTACAGGAGCACAAATTTATTAGTCAGTCACATCCATAATTCAAGTCTACAGTGGCAAGCAAATAGCAAATGGACTTCATCGTGTAAAATGGATTTGACAGCAACAAATTCATGCCCTGGCAGTAAATTTAATATGGCTGTAGATTAAAAAAATGTATGACCGGGGCTGAAGGCTGGAGATAGTTGTGCTTTGTTCTACCAGGGCTAACGTGACTGTAGAGTTCAGAATTGGAGTGAATGATATGGATGTTTCCAACAAGAAAACACACTATGTGTTGAATCTTTTTGAGTATGTGTGTGCGTGAGAATTCTGGTTATAATTACTCATTAGAGATTTCAATTGAGGTCCCTACAGAAAGACTTCTGTTTTGTTGTTGGTTTTCACACAGAAGGGATCAAATTAATTTCAAAGAGTACCCCCTGTGGGAATATTGTTTGTATATGTCTGTGTCACGCTGGAGAAACTCCTGCTCTTTAACCACCAGATAATGTGTCTCATTGTTATTGGTGAATTCAATTCTTAACAGTTCAATGAAAAAACAAACGTGTCAAAGTTTAAGATATTGTCATCCAGTAAAGAAAAAAAAACTGTGAACAGAGATATGCCAAAATTGGTGCTGCCTCTCAAAGAGCCAATCACTCACAGTTGGCTGAAAAGTTTAAATTCTAATCTATCTGTCAGAGCATAAATGTTTTCCCAGGTGTGATCCTGAAGGAAGATTGCCTCCCTTTTAATTTATTATGTACATGAACATGTTTCCACTGTTTCATTATGGAAATATGTGCCCACGTGTAACATACTTGAGCAGTCTCATTCCTGCTGTTGCCCCTAGGTAGAGAGGGGTCTCGCCATGTCTGTTCTTTGGAACCTGCTTTTTGGCCTCAAACATACATTCTCTCAGTGATTCTCCTGCCTTCTGTGGTTCATCTGCATAGCTTGAGATACCTTTACCTGGAAAGACCAAGCATATCATAAAAATGGGGAGGCTGGTGAGGGAATATTAAACTTTTTGAAAACATAAATATCCCCCCCAAAAATGAGCTTTTATACCATAGCAAAGAGTACAAAACACAGATTATGCACTGGAAGTGATGATATTCATAATGCAGAACAATTGATTTCTTCCATACCCCTGTTATAAGGCAAGGTGTCAGTCGTGGGGGCTGTGTCTCTCCACAAATTTACCTTGTGTAAAATAATTTATTGTATCAGAGGGGTCACCGGCTGCATCCTGCCTTTCATAGTAAGCGAGTAAAGCTTTTTGTTCTCCACGTTCTTGCATTAACTTTGTAACAATTGTAGCTATAGATGTTACACATTGTTGGAAGCTGAACCTAATGGCTGTCATTATAATTTTCAGTTGTTGTTAGCAGAGTTATGGCTTTAATGAGCCATCATATCCGGCTCATAAGTTTGGCACCCCTGCTTTAGGGATTTCACTGAGCCTTTGTGGAATTAGTTTTCAGCTTTTCGTACAGATGTTTAGTCACACAAATATATGGGAAACTAAAAGGAAATTTTCTATAATGGCAGGGTCTTTATTTTTTTCTAAATTTTTTCTGCATTTATAGAATATAGTTTATTTTAAGGATGTCCAAACCACATTGACGGGCTTTCATCAAACATTAACAGGTTGGTATATTCTACTATTGACATGCAGTTACATTTTCAAATATTTCAAGGTTTTCTCAGAATTTGTAGACTTTGAACACGAGAGCCGGCTTTACCTTTTACTTTACAGGAATATTTTTGTTGAACTCTTCCAGTGTTGTTATCCTTCTCTGCCGGCCACTCATAGATATAAACAGCCGTGTGGGAAGAGCCAGCATCCAGTACTATGCCATACTGTGAAGTGGAAAGCAGGATACATTCATAATAAGCTACGTGCCATTGACTGTCGATGTCTTCCATCCAGATGTGATCAATTAAACTTTCAGTATAATAGTAATATAACCCATAGATTGTCATCAAATTGATCAGTAATAGATTTTACTTTGAACTTGAGAAAAAAACTGTAAAACTGTAAGTGCAATCAACTCAAATTTAGTGTGTTTCTATGACGCAAATGGTGATTTTTCATGTATTGTTTGCATTCTTTGGTCATATTTGGTGTTTGATCTCTGTAACTATAACCGCTTCACAAGTTGAGGTCATATTGACCTGAGACCAAATTTGGCTTGTAGATATTAAGACTAAAATTCCAATGTGTTGTATGCACAAGGAGTGCGTTTTAATGTTTGCTGCTGCTTTACCATACCTTGTACTTTTGTTGGATGGGCTTGTTCTGCAAAACTGCAACCGTCACCAAGGTAACAATTGCTATGACGCCAATCACAGTGAGGATGATGGTCACAGGCGTGTGCCAGGGGTTCTTCTCTTTCATCTCTGAGAGCGGGGGTGGCAAAAGACAGACAGACGGACAGGAAGTAGAGGCCAGAGGGTTTCCAGGAGGTGGATGGTGGAAGTGGGGACACATTGGAAACAGATAAAGAGGTTGGTTAGTCTGTCCTGTTTCCAGATGTGACAAATATCCCAGCATGTGTAAGTTTGTTTCAGGCCATGTAGCGTTCAGTTGTTTTTGTTTTGTATCCCTGGGTAACGGTTTATTTATGATGTAAGGTGTCTGAACTCATGCCAGGTTATTCATTCATTCTAGTGGGGTTTGTTTTTTCATCCACAAAATATTTGAAAGTACAGGGACTGGAATTAGTTACCTAAAGTTGTAAGATTAACTCAATTTGAACTTTGGAAAATGGTTAAATGTTTTAGGACATGTTTATACAAGATATAAAAGCAATCTAACTTATTTAAAAAAGTTATTTGTTTACAATATCCGATTGGAGGTATTATTCTTATCCTGAATTTATGTGACAATGGTGTTTGCTGTTTTGTTTGAAAACTGTTTCTGCCTGATCTCTCTTTGAATTTAAACTGTTATTACAGAAGGCTGTAACACATACAGGTACTATTGTAGATTTTATACTTAGACTTAGACTTAGACAGAACTTTATTGATCCCTTGGGAAGACTCCCTCAGGAAATTAAGGTACTCCCTCAGGAAATTAAGGTACGTTTATCTATTCAGCTTTTTAAACAGAAAGTACTGATTTGAAACATACACTCATTCAAAAGTGCACAAATTGTGTATGACCAGGTTAAATAAGATTCCGGACTTTGTCAGGTTCACATGACAGTGGTTAAAGTACACACACACCTTGTAACAACTCTCCTAACTGCAGTAAATAGTCTATGAGCTGTCTTTTTGCATTAACAGGACCTGGAGGACAGATTGTAACTATGACTTTTGTCCACGGTGGAAAAATAAAGAAATAAAGAAACTTAAAAGACGTGAAGCTAGTGTTGAACAGAAAAGACAGCACTTACCTCTGTTGTCTATGTCAGTGAACTTGCCCACTGACAGGAAGAGGTAATGGGGGAGACAGATCAGATAGAGTGGGAGGAGAGAGTAGAGGAAGGCAAGAGAGCAAGAGAGAGAGAGTGAGAGAGAGAACGATAAGGACTGGACAGAGGATATTTGCTTAATGATAAAATGAGAAGAGGTTAAGCATTGAAAATGGACTGAATTTATGTGTGTGTGAACTTCTGGTGGGGCAGCTCTGAAGCACAGAGTTTTGGCATTTCCTCCCAAAACTTGGGCAGTAATACCAATCACCATGAGGATACAGTTAATGCATGTTTGTGCACGAGTAACTGTGCCTCGTGTGTAAGTGAGCTCCTTAAAAGGGACTGTCTAAGAAAACTAATAAGAGTTGCTCAAGCCCTTTCTTACTCAGAATATGTAAGAGGAAGTGGGGACTCCCTTGTTTGGCTGTTGCTATTACGGGCCAGCTGTGATGTCTTCTCAGTAATGGGTCTGGATTTCCTGTTTTCTACTCGTACTTGTGTCTATGTATTTGTTAGAATACACGTTTGGAGAGAATTTTGGCGTGTTTATGCCTTTGTTTGTGCAGACTCAAGACGTGTTGACCTGGATGTTTATCTCTTCCTTCCATGCCAAACATTTTTAAATACTCCAATTAATGCCGCTTATATGTTGAAATGGGCACAAAACACTGGTCAGATATTCTGCAATATAATTCAGGACTTGTGATTTTGTTTAGGGATTTATTTGTTTGCCCTTTTTTATGTAGCCACACTAGACACAGGGCAAGCAGGTGATTGAAAACTATTTGTTACTTTCCTATCCCCTCAAAAAGGAACTTCTAGTAGATGTGTGATTAATGGAAACATATTAAATGTCAATGGGGAGCCAGTGGCATCAAGTTTCTGGGTTTGCCCCCAATGGATTACCTTAACTGGTCTCTCCCACCAGCAGGAGCACATATCCACGTGTGTTCCTTGGAAACTTTTATTGTCTAGTAAACTCGGAAAATTGAATCTTTCCCACAACATCCTTGATTTACAACCGTGTTAGTGGGTGCTGAGCCTTCCAGAGAAAGCTGACAACAGCAGGGCCCTTCATTGGTAAAACATTTTCCTGCCCTTCTGGACTTCAACTATGAACAATACATAACAGAAAACAACTAAAATCATAAAAGTCTACAAACGGCCAGCACACACTGCTGCTGCATATGATTAAAAAATTCTAACTTAATGTTTGTTGTAGTTGAGAATTCCAACTACAACAATAACTGCTGATAATTGCACCTTTTTATTCACCCTCCATCTACTAAGAATATACAGTTGAAATGTACTGTATTTATCTCACTTAATGTACATCCCTCATGACATATATTCACGATAATAGCTTTTCCCTTGCACTTCGCTGGATGACTCATTTCCACTAGCTTTGCAGGTATTCCTCCCTGTTTTCCTAAGAAAAAAGGGTAAGCTCTCATTACCTCTGACGGCTCGCTCGCTGAGCAGCATGCGGTGCTCTGTTTGGCTTACCATCATCGCTGTCGTCTTGCTTTTCTAAGTAAGACCACTTCGACTCAGCTGAATTAGTTTTGAAACATGACGTTAAGCCTGCTGGCTGGAGCATTTGGTAACACTTAGTGGATGTCTCAGACGGCAGATGTGTAAAACTGGCAAACACTTGGCGTGTGATGGTTCATGTTTGAGCCTGTTGTTTACTGTGTGGGTGGGATTCATGACGTTCATCTGATGGATGAATTAAAGAAGGTGCTGTGTGGTCCTTGCATTGTTCCCCTCAAATTCTTAGCAACTGTCTCATTGCAAAGGGATTCATTAATAAAGAAATTAAACATCCAAAGACATCAAAACTGCTTATTCAGCACAAACCTTAACAGAGATGTATTCAGTGATCCTGACTGCTTCACTGTCTCAGCTACAATGTACAAGGCCAGCACCTTGTGCGTTTGTTCAATTACACTTTTCTAATCCCAGAGGAATAATTATGTTGCTGCCGTATAAATAATTACTGAAAATACGCTGTGGTAATGGATAAAGAAATTGTATAAAGTAAAGACCAAGGACCAACTGATTAAAAAGTTGAAGGATAGAAGAGAGAGAGCTTGGGGAAATCCTAAGTGCTCACTATCACAGGCTGGGGGTTGTTTTTGAGGCTACAGATCAAAGCATTCCTTGGAGGAATGCAGCCGCGGTGAAACAAGAATGAAACCATATGTGTATCACAAATTTGTTGACTTGTTTCCCTATGACCGCATGTCCTAATTAATGTTGTCCTTTTGGTAGGTCCCAGGCTGAGAATGTGTGACGTCAAGAATGTGTCTGTTAGTGATGGAAACCCCGCTTTGGCACTAATGACAACTGGCTCCAGTTACAAAAGCCCTAGTTCATTATAGTACATATCAAAGCCTGTTAGTAAAGTGGTTGTCCTAGAGCTGTACATGTGGTGTGGACTGACTAAATGCCCTCCCCTAAAGTTAATGCCATCCCTTGAATTTTCATCTGCAACCTGGAACGTTTTGACTTGAATAAGAAGAATGTTATTAATGTGGTATTAGAGTAAAATGACGAGTTATGTTTCTCATGCACAGTCTACCTCTGATGACAGTGTTTATGGTGGATGACCAAACACACAGTCACAAACACACTTACGCAGATAGAAAGCAGGGCTTACCCAAGCTGCACATTTAATGTATGAGATCATTGAGAGGCTCTCTTGGAACATCAGCCCACTTTGACGACACACAAGTTTGTATCGCTGCACTCAAGAGGGCCTTTTGACATAATTATCCTACCAATGATCACAACTACATGCCCAATATGTATATAGTTTAAGCTAATTGCTGACCAGATGTTATCCCCCCAAATACTCCTGTGAGAAGGTTGCCCACAATGAAAATGTTCTGGTTTTTGAAAACTGTAACACATGCTAACAGTGTTTTCCTTTCCAGTCTCTTTGTCCTAAACATAGGCCAAGTCTATGTGTGTTTAAAACTGTGTGTATGTATATGTAAATGTATACACAATATATACACAATTTTGAACAAACCAAATAGGTCCTTGAGCTGGATGAGAGTATTAACATATTGTCTTTCTCTCTTGCATTAGGAAAGTGTGTTGTTTTGGGTGGTGCTTTCAAGTCATTTATCTAGAGACATTTACCAACAAGTCTGACACGTGCACAAATCGTTCTAAGCCTTTATAATGTCCTGAACACACTCAGTGATAATTGTTGATACCTTTGTTGATCCCTTAATGCTATCATAAGCTTGCAGACCTGATTGTAACTTAAATCTTAGCAAGACACGACAGCAGGCTGAATGATCTCATTGAACAAATGTACAATTAAGACTTGTTTTTGCAAGTTTCAACAGATTGAGGTGTTTTCCCAAAGATAAGGCTAATGCACACGTGAAAAGACTTATGTTTTTCACAACAATTTTTCCAAACTGCCAGCGATGAGAGTAGTAAAAAGGGAGGAAGTGTGATTAGGATGTTTTTTGTTTTGTAAATCTGCTGATAATGAGCAGGTTGTTATGAGCCAAGGGGTGGCACAGCTGGGGATTGGATGTGTGTGTGTGACAGCAATAATGATGGAAAAGCCAAAACGACAATGTGCCTGTGGGACAAGTTCAGAGTTTGTTTGGGCACTCTGTGGCTTAGGCTGAACAATTCATGAGCCGGACACATGCGCCATTTGTGAACACAAAAGTACATTTACATTTATTCCATGGTCAACATGCCTGACACCACGGTGACATGGGCTTGTTTCTAAGCATGCAACCACAATTTAGCTATTACTCTTCTACGTTCTTGGGAACTGTAGTTATTTTCAAGATGACAATTTCCTCCACTAGTTAATAAAGCAATCTTTGAAACCTCAACCAAAAATGGAAGATTTAAGCAACTTGTTTGCATTCTGTCATTTCAGCATAAGCAAGATGTTGTCAGGATCATAGTTCAGACGCCTGTTCCTGCTCTTTTTATAGACGTCACTGTTAGTCTAGTTCTTGTGTAAGGCTGCCAAAGGCTGAGGATTGAAAACAGAAGTCTATTCCCCGCCTAGACGTTGTTTCAACATCTCTTCAATTACCCTGCAGCATGTTTTAATGGACAACAACGTTTATGGTGTAAATTCAATTGTGTGTGTTAATTGGGTGTGATTTGACTTTTAAAAGTTATTCTTAAATACATTTTTGAAATCAGGTTATATTTTAGGAAAGATAATATTGATTTTTTTTTAAATATATAATGAAATGATAATAAAATGACATGTGTTGCTCAATGTACTGTAGTATGACATCACATGCAATAACACGTCCAAATACGTTGGGTTGCTGTGTGAATGCATCGTAAATCTTGTAAACACCTTTTCACAATTTCCTAAAAACGTTTTTGCTTATCTTGAATTGGGGCAGTATGCAACTTTGTAGCATCCCATTCAACGCAACCTGTGAATCTCTCAGAACTGAGGAGACAAACTGTTGGATCTTAATGAGAGCAAAGGAGGAAGAGAAGTCCCCTTAATTCAGTCGTTTGATTCTGGGCTTTCCTGGGCCACATGTTAAAGAGCTCTTAAATGAATGTAGATGCAATTAACAAAACAGCTCACATCCAAAGCATGCAGTTTGTATTCTCCTTCACAAATATCATGATTGTGCAACAACTTCTCACTTCCTACAACTGTGCTGCTAGGTGCTAGTACACAGATTATAAATTTGTGACGCCAATGCTTTCCAATTTGAAGTGATGATTTTGCTCTTATTAATGTTATTGACCAGGGGCTTGTTTAAAAAAGAGCAGCTCTGTTTTCCCCGGTTTGACTGAATCGAGGGTATGAATGACCCCAGGAAGGCACACAATGGTTAAAAATGTGTGCACTGTATTTTTACGGATAGAGAATCAAGTCAAGAATTAATAATGAAAGTTATAAAGTGCAGAGTTGCTTTCACAGAAAACTTTCGGGGAAAGTGAGAAAGGTTGCACATCTGTACAGGACGCTGTTGTTTTTAAATGGAAGACTGACTGCCTATCAAAACTGCTGTCTGTCAAGAAGGCTAACCTTTAAGCATCTTTTCCTGACAACACCCTGTCCCAGCAGGATGCTGAAATGCTGCATTCTAAGTGGAGGTCATCTAATTTTCCTTCTGTTACAAGAGCTCCTGCACTGGACAGGGATGGTCATCGTTACTTTGATACCCCTCAGATGTAGCTAGATGTGGAAATTAATTGATGCAAGCAGTTTTGTTATCTGAGGCCATGAAGACTAAAATGGTCTGACTGATTGGATTTGGCATGACTTCTCCTTTTGTAAGCGTCACATGATATCCCACTGGCACTTAAACTGATACAACTGAGTTTGGAAAAAGTTTGAACAAAAAGCTCTTTTTGTAGGTATCCATTACATGATGTATTCATGCAGTTTATGATAATGTTAACAAATGAAATAAAAAGGTCTTATTAAAAAAATCTGTTTGTTTATAGATATATTGTTAATTGTTATTTGTGCTTTTGCTTAGTTGGATAATATGAATGTTATGTGCTGTGAGGCTGTGAGGTATCAGCAGAAGTCTTTAAGAACCAGTGGAGTGCAGCACAGGCTCAAATTGACCAAAATTACCAGAAAATGCATTTGAGGAAATACATGGCACTAGTTTACTCAAAGGGAAACTGAGAAGAAATAGAAGTTTTTCATGGGTGTGAGATGTGTGCATTCCCAAACATCAGTTCATCGCCTGTCCTTGTGGATAAAAAAATGTATCTTTCTTGCTCGCATAATTTGTTCCAAATGTTACAGTTTTTTTATTCTTTGGCACCACTATCAGGTTCTGCCATACCATGCTGTTTTGCATTAGAGTTCTTGCACATTAAGTCACAGTGACCCATGGGTCCTTCTCAGTTTCAGCAGACAACACTCAGCATCTATATAAATAGTTTGGGATATTGTGAAACTTGAAAAGGGAACCTCCAGCTGTACCATGTGATGGGTTATGAGAGGAAGCATCCCTGTTTGCCTCAGGGAAGTGGTCCGTTCTGCAAGGTCAGACTGGGCAAAAAGGCTGCACATTCATGCAACTCCTGACCTTTTTTAGCCGAGAGGGGACATTTTTTTCTCTTTTTTAAAACTTTTTTTGTTTGATATATATTAGTAGTGTGATGGCTGCAAATCAGATTTGATTATCACAATGATGGTGCAGTGTTTGCTTTAATTTGCATTAAATCCTCTATCCCCCCACTTACAAAGTCAATCTCTTAGGCTCTTAATACAGGAAGGAAGGAAATGAATGGAAGCAATATTGAGACTAATTGAAATTAAGGCAATTCAATTCAATTAAGCATCAAAGCGCTCCTTGTTTAGAGTTCATTAGTTTCAGCACCATACTTTTGTGGCGGTAAAGCTTCTTGTGCTCACAGGACTGAAAAGGACTTCCAAACAAGGGAATAAGTACATTCAGAGACAGTTCTTCAGCTCTGATGTAGGATGAACTTAAACAGTAACTGCTGGCTTTTTTGGCAAGTGTTGCAAACAGCAAGAGATGCCATTCTTCTTAATAATAAAACACATGGAGTGTAACTGCTGAAACACCAGTCATCTGAGCCTTTTGTAGAGACACTGGGTGTTATTGTGAGATACCCTGACAATTCAACTCTAACTGAACGGCTGACGTTGGTAACAACACAAACCTCGCAAGTTCTGCCACTGTGTTTGTGCCAAAAAATGGAAAGAAGAAGGAGCAACAAACAAAGAAAGCACAGTCGCATGCACTCAGGCACCTGCTTATGTAGTCTATATGCACCCTCAAGCTCCTGTTGAGGAAAAAAAAGTGGCACGCATGCCCTGTGCACAGCTGTTACATGCACTAAAGCAGGTCACAGTTGGAAGATGAAGCACACT